TGGTTAATTTACTGAGCTGTACATTGTGCTCAAATCATGACTTATTTTTTTCTTTTGCAGTTATAAATTTAATAAAAAGTTTATAGAGTTTTGAAGTGTGTGGGATAATTTCAGGTCTCATGTTCTCTCTCATATTGTCTGAATTACTCTAACAGTTCAATATATCCTGTATTTTTCATACAGATATTAAAATAGTAATTTTATTTATCTTTTTTATATACAGAAATCATTTAATACTTGCAATGGGTGAAAAAGAATACACATATAAAATGTCTCAAAATAACAATCCAGGTAAGACTTATAGTACTGAATTACTCTTAATGGTCCCAATGTAAATATAAAAGTAAGAGTAAGAGGTTTTATTTAATTTTTTTCGAGAGAGCTTTTCACTACAGGCTGTATGTGCTCATCGGAGAGACAGAGACAGACAGACAGAAGGTGAGAAATCACCCCCCATGCAGCAGTCTCTTCTCCTCCATTCTTCTCCCGGGATTTTGGGCATACACAAACATGTGCCTGGCATAAATATTAAGCTGCCATGTCTGGGATTCAAACCGTGGTTGACAACATGGGAGGCCAGCGATATAACCATTATGCCAAAAGCTGGTTTCTCTCTTAATTTTGTAATAGTCTAGGATATACACTTATTTAAGAATTTTATTGTAGGTAATTTATGCTATGAAATAGTACTGTCTGGAAAAAATTTGCTTATTTAATGATAGACTCCAAAGTCCTGTATGTTCTGTGTAAACAAGAAAACATTTTAAAATGTTTTCTCATGAAACAAAAGACAAGACACACGTGTGTGCACGCTCAGAATCCTGATGGACTGAAGAGCTGGAGGAATGGGATGTGAGGTTACTGAGCCCTGTGCAGGGTGCTCATCACACTCTCCTGTACATGTGTGAATACACTCTATCATGAATTATGAAATAAAATATAAACTCTCTTTAAAACTAGGACCTAAATAATACCTTTTGGCTGCATAAACAAATGGCAATAAGAACTGCCAAACTAGCCAATGTGTACCAGTATCAATAGGTTTTTTAAAAATCAAAAACAAGATTAATTCAAGAAAACATTAATTAAAGAAGATAACAATGCTAACCATTCTTTAATGTTATATACATTATTAATATAGACTATATTTCCAAACAACTCCAGTCTTAGGCTCAATTTAAGAAACACAGTTGTAGCAGGCTTTATACAAAAAATACTTCACTAAAAAAGTAGACAAATTACACAAAAACAGTATGATTATATGTGCATAGCAAGACAGCTTGGGGCATCTCTGAATAGCTGTCTTCAAAATAAAACTATGAGAGGAATAGGCCCACTCGGGACCTACTGTTACAGTTGACATATAAATGGTTTCACATCTTTTTTAGACACTTGCCTCACAATAGTGTTACATCCCTGAAAAAATGAATTTATCTTAAAAAATATACATCTGAGGGGCCAGCAGATGGAATAACGGTGATGGCACTGGACTCCCACATGGCTAAATGCGGCTGGAGTCCTGAACACAATGGCTTCAAACTCATGTTGGGTGCATGTGCGTGTGTGCCCAAAAAATCCTGAGAGGAGAACGGAGAAGAAGGGATTGCAGCCCGGCCATCACCCCTGGAGTGTGAGTTCTCGCTTTCTGCTCCCCCTGATGAGCACAAGTGTCCCATGCAAAAATCTCCCCCCCCCAAAAAATCTAAATTTTTAAAAATTACAAGAAAATAATATGTGTAAAGTCTTATATATTCCTTTTAAGTTAAACAACCAGTTTAATTATTAGCGCACATGCAGAACTGAATTGAAAGAAAATAAACTTAATTTCAAAAACTTCCTGTACAAAATTACAAAAATGAAAGCTACAAAAATATGTACAGATTTAATTTCTTTGTTATATACAATAAAGCCCTGAAGTTTTAATCCAGTCAATACCAGACAATCCAATGGGAAAAGGAAAACCTCTTTAGTAAATGATGCTGGAAAAATGGGGTACCCACCTGCAGAAAGATGAAATTGAACCCCCATCTTTCACCATTAACAAAAGTCAGTTAAAAACGGATCAAAGATCTGAACTGATGATCTCAAACTACGATAAATTACTGATGGAATATACTGGGGAAACTCTGGGAGACATTGGAGTAGGCAAAGACTTCTTACATAAGACTCCTGAGGCACAGGCAATAATCCCTAAAATAGACAAGTGGGACTATATCAGACTATGAAGTTTCTGCACAGCAAAGGACACAGTAACATGTGAATCGACAACCCTCAGAATGGGAAAAGATTTTTGTAAAATATGCTCAGACAAGGGACTGATAACCATAATACACAGGGAACTCAAGCACCTTATGTGAAAAAAACAAAAAAATATAAATACACACACACACAAACACACACACACAACATGGGAAAATGAGCTGGCAAAAATCTCTCTAAAGAAGACATATGAACAGCCAAAAAGCATATGAGGAAATACTCAACATCCCTCATCATAAGGGAGATACAGATTAAAACCACAACAAGATACCACCTAACCCCTGTCAGAATGGGAAAGATTAAAAACATAAGTGATGGGTGTTGGCAGGGATGTGGTAAAAAGGGAACTCTCTTATCCTGTTGATGGGAATGTAAACTGGTTCAGCCACTGTGGAGAATAATATGGAAGTTTCTCAAAGATCTAAAAATAGAACTACCATTTGATCCAGCAATCCCACTTCTGAATATCTACCTGAAAGACAGGAGAATGCTCAGTCAGAAAAGTGCTAGCACATCAATGTTTACTGCAACATTATTCACGATTGCTAATACATGGAACCAACCCAAATGTGCACACACTGATGAATGGATTGAAAGATCATGGCACATACACTCTATGGAATACTACTCAGCCATAAAAAGCAAGACCCTTGCATTTGATAGAAAGGGTTTGGATATACAGGATCTATGGCTGAGTGAAGTAAGCCAGGATATGGAAGAAAGATGTTATATGTATCCACTTAATATACACTGACTATCCACACTTTATGGTAGAGATAGAAATATTGGAGGGCATAAACACAGTGAAAATAGTTAGTGATGATAAGATAGTGTGGAATGGGGTGGGAGAAGAGAAGAGTATGGAGAAGGATAGCAAAAGAACAAATAGGCACTCGTCTGGGGCATTGGCAGATATCCCAGTCTGCCATGTATTCCAGGAAGGCCATGTACAAGAGGAAATACTCGGCCACTAAATCCAGGATCGAAAAGAAAAAGGAGGAGAAGGTTCTTGCGACTGTCACAAAACCGGTTGGTGGAGACAAGAATGGTGGTACCCGGTTGGTTAAATTGCGCAAAATGCCTAGGTATTATCCTACTGAAGATGTGCTTTGAAAGCTGTTGAGCCACAGCAAAAAACTCTTCAGTCAGCATGTGAGAAAGCTGCAAGCTAGCATCACTCCTGGGACCATTCTGATCATCCTCACTGGATGCCACAGAGGCAAGAGAGTGGTTTTCCTGAAGCAGCTGAGCAGTGGCTTGCTACTTGTAACTGGACCACTGGTTCTCAATCAAGTTCCACTGTGTAGAACACACCAGAAATTTGTCATTGCCACCTCCACACAAATTGATATTAGCAAAGTAAAAGTCCCAAAGCACCTTACTGATGCTTGCTTCAAGAAAAAGAAACTGGAAGCCCAGACACCAGGAAGGTGAGATCTTCAACACAGAGAAGGAGAAATACGAGATTTCAGAGCAGCTCAAGATTGATCAGAGAGCTGTGGATTTGCAAATTTTACCAAAAATCAGTGCTGTTCCTCAGCTCCAGGGCTACCTGCGATCCATGTTTGCCCTTACAAATGGAGTTTATCCTCACAAATTGGTGTTCTAGATTTTTTGTGCCAAAAACCTAATTAAATAACTGATCATATAAAAAAAAAAAGAACAAATAGGCATGACAGTAATGGGACACAAATCTGGTTTACTACCTGTTGATGATGATGTGTATAGTACTCTCAACTGGACTGGTCTGAGAAGTATTTCATGTTGGGTAAAGTCTTTTAACAAGCAAAATGATAGTGATTGAATTTTAAAAAAATAATTGGAATAATAGTAATAATAATCTGGGAAATAAATAATGAAAAGCTATTGGATGATGGTGGTGGGATTTTAATGTCTTTGTATTAACTGATATGCATGATATTCCTTCTGGAAAAAGAAATGTAATACACTGTAAAGTTATATGTGATTCAATGTAATATAAACAAGATTATGATAATAGTAAATAAATTTGAAAATGTTTTCATCCAGTCATTGAAAATGTCTTTAACATTTATATCAGCAATGCAGCAAAAAACTCTTTGTGTAATTTTTGTAATATAAGAACTCCAATGATTCAATAAACTATGATCCAAACATAGAAGGTAAAAATATAAATATATGATTCTGTTGTCATGAAAACGATTCCATTTTAAGTCTCTGCTGTGCATGTCCCTTAGGAATGTGTCCTAAGGATCTGTGCACTGCCACTGGGTCCCCTGTTAATGATTCCCCATTTTCATATGCCAACTATCAGTAGATATCTGCTTTTTACAAGACAGTTCTCTTCTAGATAAGAAATTGTAGTAAACCCCATTCTACCTCTGTATTGATAAATACAGAGGGGAAGAATTGTGAGGAACTACAGGTGCTCCTTATTTCATGACTGAGACCAGTGAAGTGTGGTGTGTGGTGGCACCCTGCAGTATCAATTTTCAATAAATATCGTGTGACAACACACTCAAATCATGTAATTCTGTCCACATTAAAAAAAAAAACATACATTTTAAAAGATTTAAGAAAATATACATTAGGAAAGGGCCAGAAGTCAACAGGACACACCACAACACAACACATTTGGCATGCTTGTTTTTATTTATTCTGAATACTATTCAGAGTGTACAATAAAGTACAAATTTGTAAATGAAATCTGTAGTCTTCCCGACTACAGGATCAGGAGGAAGGCTGAGAAAGAGGATTGCAGAGACTTGCAGATTAAAAAGGGGGATTTTCCCCATGCTGGAAAACTGGTCATAATTCTTAATGATTATTAAATAGGTGCGTTTTTAAGTGAGGAGAGGCTGTAATTGGCTACCAATTGTATAATCAATATTTATTCTAGTGCAGTCTCCAGGTATAGCCCCAAAGAATACTTTGTAACAAAGCATAATTTAGAATTATTTATTTTGCTCTTGTTGATTGAACATATGTTTTACTTTTTTCTTTAATGGTAGATATGAATGGTGAAGAAGATGATATAAAAAGGTAAGATTTTAGAGATTTTTTTTTTCAATTGAAAGTTAACTAAAGGAATGCAGAAAAAAGAAACTGTTGAGTGTTCTCTTCTGGGCTACACATCCTATTATGTGTTTAACTATTCTTATCACATAGTTACCACAGTAGCTTTGCAAAATACTTGTATTTCTTACTAATTAGGCAGTTGTGGGTTTCTATGGTTTTTTTTTTTTTTTTCCACCAGTTAAATATTCTCCATTTCTCTATAGACAGAGAGAAAGCAGATAGAATTCTGGAGTTCTAAGAAATTTTAGAGTCTAAGCAAAACACCCAGAGTCTAAGAAAGGCACCCTCTGTACCTCCACCTATTATTAGCATCCTGGCCAAGTGGTTGTTTGGATAGAGAACATGAAACTCAAAGAGATGAAAGTGTCTTATCTGTATATATAGCAAGCGACAGAAACGGCACTTGAATTCAGTTTCCTTAATTTTAAGCCCAGTACTCTTCCTTCTTTAGCATCTTGTGTGTGTTTTAATAGTAGAAAGGGTTGTGGGTATAGTGAACCTAACAGAAGAGGGTAAATGGAATTAGCAGCGGAAGGCCTAATTTGAAGAACAACAATGACTCCGCTGGATAGGAACAAGGGTTTAGAAAAGAGATCAGGATATTAGGGTTTATGACATGTTTGGTTAAGATAAATTGCATGAATGAGGCCAGTAAGTGCCATGTAGTTAAGACATTGGACTCCCACATGACAGACTGTGGTTCAAGTCCTGAACCTGGCTTTCTCGCATTCTCTCTCTGTGTCTCTCTGGTGCATATACATGCTCTATAACACGTTTTTAAAACATTAAAAATTAAATTAAAATTCTTTTAACAATTGCAAGAATCAGAGACACATTATATTGGGATTCATGTAGAAAGGAATGTTACAAATAAGAGACTCAAGGCATTACTGAATAGGTTGCAGCTTTTTGGTGGTTTTGTTTAATTGGAGGCACTCGTAAGCTTCCCAGTATCTATAGGTAGATTTGGAAGATGTTAAAATAATTTGAATCTTGGGGATAATCTCTATAGCAGATGGTAATGTGATATTATCTACTTCCATTCGAAATTGAGAAGGTGACACAGAGCCCCTTGAACACTAGGGAACTGGTGAGTAATGAACTAAATAGATCGATGACCTGGGGCAGGAGTCTCCTTGACTCTACTGTTTTCCTAACTCATTGATGTCCTTCCCATATACACTTAGAGTAGGGCAGAAGTAGCATGTTGGCAAATCAGTCATGAAGCTTTACATGGTAGGTAGTAACATGCCTACCTGGGGGTGGGTGACAAACTGCATCTAGCTTGTTTTCAAGGAGAGTGAAATAGCTGCTCTTAGTTGATTGAACCCATCATTGTTTTAAGAACCTGTGCCTTCATAGGCTGAAGACGTGAAGCTTGGACTAACCCCTAGAAAAGAGAGATCTGGGAGGGGGAGCCAGTAAGAAGGAAGATATATATGTATATCTTCTGAATAAGGCAGAACCTATAGTGAAAATAGTGGATTTTATAGTTTTCAGTGTTTTATTTCTAATACCATTTTTATTAAGCATCTCTAATTGGAACATATACATTTATTACTCGACTTTCGTACATTTACTTCCAAACATAACAGAGGACTGACTTTTTGTTCTCTTTTAAGGTGAAGGAAGGCAGTGGAACCTTGGGACCAGGACTACCATTTTTTTTTTTTTTTTGAGAGGTTTTTGCTATAGGGCACATGCACTCGCCAGACAGACAGAGACAGAGAGACAGCAAGAAATCACCCCCCAGGGGGGATGGCCACGCCACAGTCCCTTCTCCTCCATTCTCCTCTTGGGATCTTGGGCATGCACGCACACGCGCCCAGTGTGAGTTTTAAGCCACTGGGTCCGGGACGCGAACTGTGGTTGACTACATGGGAGTCCAGTGACATAGCCATTACGCTAACTGCTGGTTCCCATGACTACCATTTTTTAGTTACACATAGCAATCTTTGAACTAGACATAGACAATGGATAAGGGACATTGTATTATTTTTTTCAGTTGCCTGATGGCACGTGAGACTTGCCAGTGAGACACACACACAGGGAGAGGGAAGGAAGCACTCCCCATGGGGGTGTGGTGACAGTGCAGTTCTTTCTTCTCCATTTCTACATCCTGTCAGGATTTTGGATGCCCATGCACACATGTCTAGTTTGTTTTTCAATCTTCCAGGACCAGATTTGAACTGCCATTGGCAAAGTGGGATCCTGCCTTTTTAATAGGAGGCAACAGGATCTTCTCTGAAGTGCATTTTTATGTTATCAGATTTTTTTTTTACATTCATTAAGTGTATATCATTACAGCATACAAGATGGATTTTTCCATTTAGAATACACTGAATATTGACCGTGTCAAAGATATTACTACTCCTATTATCTTCAACAGATAATTTTCCATTTTATGTTTCTAAAAACTGTTAGGTTATCAGATGTGTTCCAGTTCAGGTAAAAAAGTTATGTCAGTCATTAATTGGATTTTCAGTTAAGTCTTAACACCAGGCAATTTGGGAAGACAAGTTATTCTCAGACTTTGCCATAATATTGACTGTCTTTTTTTGTTATGAAAGTAAGAGTGGGTTTTCACTGAATAGTTTTTAGTTTGGGAGAGGTGGAGACAGAAATAGATACTTGAAAGCTTTTTGAAAACAGGGGTTGTATTAGTCTGTGTTGCTAGTGAGAAATACTGTATTGCTAGCCAGAAATACTCTGTTGCTAACCAGAAATACCCAAGACTGGCTGAGTTATAAAGGATAGGTTTATTTGGTGTATGATTCTGGTGACTTGTTAGTCTATAAGCATGGCTTGACCTCTAGTTTTAAGTCATGGCATGACCAAGAGAGTCAGACAAGTCATCAGTCACATCAGGAAAGAAAGACAGGAAAAGGAAGAGGAAGAAGAAACAGACTTTCTGCTTCCTCTCTGTGTGCTTCTAGCTCCTTGGAGGCTCTGGCTTCCCCTTAGGCATTACTGCTCACTACCTCCAAAGCTACTGGGGTACAGACTTTGAGAACATGAATCTTTAGGGGGCAAACGATTATCCAAATCATAGCATCTCACCCCTGATTCCCAAAGTCCATCTGTCATATACAAAATACATCTCAGGCTGGCTCTGTGGTTGGTTAAGGCAGACAGATAACGACATGACAAACAGCATTGTTTGAATCCCAGATCTAGTAGCTTGAGAAACATACTGGGCACATGTGAGTGTATGCCCAAATTTCTGAAAGGAGGAAGAGATGGAGGAGAAGGAACTGTGGCATGATCATACCCTATGCAGGGGTGCCTTCTCTTCTTCCTGTCTGTCTCTCTCTGGTGAGCACATGCACCCTCTAGTAAAATAAAATAATAAAATAAAGTAAAAGAAAAGAAAATCTCATTCTTATAGTTACAAAAGTCTTAACTTGATCAGGACTAACTAAGTCCAAGTCCTAAGTCTCATCTGATACTTGGGCAACCTCTTTTCAGCTGGGACCCTGCAAAAAATCAAGAAAGCATATTAGCAAATTCCCAGATACGATGGTGAGGTTGGCTTGGGTAGAAATTCCCATTCTACAAAAAAGAAAGGAGCCCCCCCACCCTGGACCCATGCCGAGCGGGGCGGCGGCGGGCGGAGGGGCCCTGCGCCAGCCCACCCAGGCCTGGCTGTGGGCCCCCGCCACCCCCGGGAC